GGGTGGGGAGGGGTTTGGGGGGGGGATTCCCCCTTTATTTGGGGCAAATTTTCATCATTTTGGGACAATTTTGCTTCATTTTGGGTCAATTTTCCCGTTTTTTGGGGTTCCTCACCCATTTTTTGGGGCGATTTTCTCATTTTTTGGGGTGATTTTTCCAATTTTTGGGTCGATCTTTCCATTTTTTGGGGTTCCCCGTCCCGATTTTGGGGTGATTTCCCCCGATTTTGGGGCGATTTCCCCCATTTTTGGGGCTCCTCATCCTCATTTTGGGGTGATTTCCCCCGATTTTGGGTCGATTTTTCCATTTTTTGGGTCTCCTCCCCCGTTTTTTGGGTCGATCTTTCCATTTTTTGAGGTTCCTCATCCCGATTTTGGGGCGATTTCCCCCAATTTTGGGTCGATTTTTCCATTTTTTGGGGCTCCTCTTCCGTTTTTTGGGTCGATTTTTCCATTTTTTGAGGTTCCTCGTCGCGATTTTGGGGCGATTTCCCCCATTTTTGGGGCTCCTCATCCTCATTTTGGGTCAATTTCCCCCAATTTTGGGTCGATTTTTCTGTTTTTTGAGGTTCCTCATCCTGATTTTGGGGCAATTTCCCCCGATTTTGGGTCAATTTCCCCCCTTTTTGGGTCTCCTCTTCCTCATTTTGGGGCGATTTCCCCCGATTTTGGGTCGATTTTTCCATTTTTTGGGTCTCCTCCCCCGTTTTCTGGGTCGATCTTTCCGTTTTTTGGGGTTCCCCATCGCGATTTTGGGGCGATTTCCCCCGATTCTGGGGCTCCTCCCAGGGGAAGGAGACGCCCAGGCCGCGCATGCGCTGGCGGTAAACGCGCTCGAAGCGCCGGCTCTGCTCCGCGCTCAGGTGGTTCCGCCAGTCCCCGGAGATGCCTGGAACGGGCAGAAAACGGGCGAAAATGGGAAAAAACCAGCAGGAACGGGGAGAAAACGGGCGAAAATGGGAAAAAACCAGCAGGAACGGGCAGAAAACGGGCGAAAATGGGAAAAAACCAACAGGAATGGGGAGAAAACGGGCGAAAATGGGAAAAAACGAACAGAAACGGGGAAAAAACCAACAGGAACGGGGAGAAAATGAACAGGAACGGGGAAAAACCAACAGGAATGGGGAAAAACCAACAGAAACGGGGAAAAAACGGGGGAAAATGGGAAAAAATGAACAGGAATGGGGAGAAAACGGGCGAAAATGGGAAAAAACCAGCAGGAACGGGGAGAAAACCAACAGGAACGGGGAAAAAATGAACAGGAACGGGGAGAAAACGGGCGAAAATGGGAAAAATAAACAGGAACGGGGAAAAAATGAACAGGAACGGGGAGAAAACAGGCGAAAATGGGAAAAAACCAGCAGGAACGGGCAGAAAACGGGGGAAAATGGGAAAAAACCAGCAGGAACGGGGAAAAAATGAACAGGAACGGGGAAAAACCAACAGGAACGGGGAGAAACCAACAGGAACGGGGAGAAAACGGGGGAAAATGGGAAAAAACGAGCAGGAATGGGGAGAAACGGGGAGAAAACGGGCGAAAATGGGAAAAAACCAACAGGAACGGGGAAAAACCAACAGGAACGGGCAGAAAATGGGCGAAAATGGGAAAAAACCAACAGGAACGGGCCCAAAACGGGCAGAAAACGGGGGAAAATGGGAAAAAACCAGCAGGAACGGGGAGAAAACCAACAGGAACGGGGAGAAAACGGGCGAAAATGGGAAAAAACCAGCAGGAACGGGGAGAAACGGGGAGAAAACGGGCGAAAATGGGAAAAAACCAGCAGGAACGGGGAAAAAACCAACAGGAACGGGGAGAAACCAACAGGAACGGGGAGAAAACGGGGAGAAAACGGGGGAAAATGGGAAAAAATGAACAGGAATGGGGAAAAACCAACAGGAACGGGGAGAAATGAACAGGAACGGGGAAAAAATGAACAGAAACAGGAAAAAATGAACAGAAGCGGGCCCAAAACGGGGGAAAATGGGAAAAAATGAACAGGAATGGGGAAAAAAACGGGGGAAAATGGGAAAAACGTACAGAAACGGGGAAAAAATGAACAGAAACGGGGAGAAAACCAACAGGAACAGGCCCAAAACGGGGAGAAAATGGGGGAAAATGGGAAAAACCAACAGGAACGGGGAGAAAATGAACAGAAACGGGGAGAAAACGGGCGAAAATGGGAAAAATGAACAGAAATGGGGAAAAAATGAACAGAAACGGGGAGAAAACGGGCGAAAATGGGAAAAATGAACAGAAATGGGGAAAAAATGAACAGAAATGGGGAAAAACGGGGCGAAAACGGGGGAAAATGGTCAAAACCAAATGAAAATGGGGACTAAACAAACGGAAATGGGGAAAAAACACAAAAACGGGGAAAAAAAGGGGAAAAAATGGGAAAATAAACTGGAAAAAAGGGGAAAAATCTCCCCTCCGTGCGAAATTGTCCCTAAAATGTGTCCCCAAATGTCCCCAGGATGTCCCCAGGATGTCCCAAAGTGTCCCCAATGATGTCCCCAGGTGTCCCCAGTGTCCCCAGTGGTGTCCCCAATGATGTCCCCAGGTGTCCCCAATGTCACCTTTCCTGAGGAAGGGTCCCCGCCGCGGGTCCAGGATGAAGGGGGGGTACCCAGGGTGTCCCCAGTGATGTCCCCAATGATGTCCCCAGGTGTCCCCAATGTCCCCAGTGATGTCCCCAGTGTCCCCATGGTGTCACCTTTCCTGAGGAAGGGTCCCCGCCGGGGGTCCAGGATGAAGGCCGGGCTGCGGCTGAAGTTGCTCATGGGGTTCTCCCTCATGGCCCCGAAGGAGGCGTTGGCCACCACGGCGTCCACGGCGGCCGCGCTCAAACGGCGACCCAGGAACGCGCAGAGCCGCTGGACACTGCCCCGCAGGTCCTGGGGACATTGGGGACATTGGGGACACCATTGGGGACATTGGGGACACTCAAGAGAATTTTTGGGGACATTGAGGCGACATCGGGGTGACCCTGAGGTGACCCTGAGGTGACACAGGTGACACAGCGGGTGATACTGAGGTGTCCCCAGGTGTCCCCAGGTGTGTCCATGATGTCCCCAGGTGTATTTCAGGTGTCCCCAGCTGTCCCCAGCTGTCCCCAGGTGTATCCCAGGTGTCCCCAGGTGTCCCCAGGTGTATCCAGGTGTCCCCAGGTGTCCCCAGGTGTGTCACCTGCACATCCGG